ACTAAAAGTACGTTACTCTACCTGCAAAGCAATTCTTGCATTTCCTACAATATAATCAATCAATAGACAATCATTTTGAATTCGTTACTAATCCTTAGCAGTCCTGATGAATGAATTCAACCTCATTCACTTTGGTTTTATTCAATTTTAAGAGTGTAATCTTTAAGTTGAAGCAGATTAACATAAGTTGGAAACAAGTTAAACTACAAAACAATTCGACCAGAAACACGTACATTGTTTCAGTACCTGACTTACCTTTTGTCCTCAATTTCAATTTTTCAGGGGACTACATCATCTCGATTGGCATGCAGGAGGCGTTCGAGCCGCTCTTATATGAATACAAGGTCGATCTCGCCTTCTGGGCTCATTATCACAGCTACGAGCGGACATGCCCGGTGTATCTTCAAAAATGTACCCCAGGGGCACCTGTGCATATCGTAGTGGGAACGGCAGGAAAGAATCTAGACACGGAGGATTATTTCCCTATGAGCTGGTCGTTATATCACGAGAATAATTATGGATATGGCCGGTTGACGCAGGCAAATCGTTCGGCGCTGCACTGGGAATGGGTTGAGAATACCAGTGGAGTTGTCAAGGATCACGTGTGGCTGACAAAATGATTTGTCTTTTCCATTGCGCATGTTTGATACACGAAAGATGAACAGTTTGCTGTAGCTTATAATAAATTCAATCACCCCTCCTTAACTTACTTTACTTGTAAGTTATGTTGCTTCCACTTTGATATCATTGAAGTCAAGTAGAAGTTTTGATTTTTGCTTCCTTTTCAAAAGGCATATCGTGTCATTTCAAGTGGCAATTATTGTGGCAGGCTGCGAGGTCTTTGAGTGTTGGCTTCAGTGATGTGTCAACAAAGTCCAGTACAGTGAAACGTTCCGTGGACGACCTCGGTCGCTTTCTTTATATGGGAAATAGTCACTTAGAAGTTTACATAAAATAATTTGCCTGGTCAGGCTTGAATGTTCCATTTGTATTTGCTCAAAGTGTATTTGAAATTAAATTTATACATTTTTGTAGGAAAATAAAAGACTTGGATGCGATTGTACCACTTTACTTTTTGTTTATACTTAAACTTGAAGATCGACTGCGGTCAAGAACAGAACTTGGACTAAGAAAACATTGACCAAAACCCGAGGGGCTCCCATATATAAAAGACGGGGGTGCTCGTCGTACCTTTCAGGGGTAAAAGAGCGGTTTTGCTACCTCTTAGGGTGTTCAGCCTCAAAAGGTCCCCAGCAGGAGCTTTTGCGGTACCTTTTAGGGAACTGAGCCGAAAAAAATATGACAGGAGATAATGTGTTGTTTTAGAATTGGTACCTCTTAGGAGTGAAAAAAATTTCAAGCCGCGCCCACAAAACAGGTTTAGGAGGTTTCTTTTCAAAATTTCCGACGAGCACTTCCATCCTTTTCATATGGGAGGTTCCCCCGGAACCAAATCATGCATATCACAAATATGCAGCCGGTGTTGGCGTTATTGCTGCGGAGCGAGCGGAGTGAGCAAAGCAGCAATTCATAATCAGAAAGGCGAAATCGAGATTTTGTCGTCGTCGCTAGCCTCGCTTTTAGCGGACCCGATGATAATGCTCTGCACTGTGTGCAGAATATCTAAGTCAAAACTAGCACTACAGGCAAACTCCACCACCAATTCTCTCTTCAGACTTCTCGAACTTCGTATACCCCCTTAATATTTGTCCCTTCTAATATGCAATCCTTGTTCCAAATTGCACACCACATCCAAATTTCCGCAGCACTTTCATAGCTCTGGCTACATAGGTTGTCACGTTTCTGGGGCGTGTGTTTTCTCTGATAACTCAATGCATCGTGCTAGTACTGCAATGTGATAGGTTCTCGTTGTCCATGCAGCTCATGATAGCACATGAGGTGATCAGATAAAGTTTCACCGAACCCCGCCGGGGGGGTATTCCCAGAAAAGTTGGGTGGGGGTGTGCGGCCTACTTCCCAAAACCCTTACCCTATTTATGACCTGGCCAAACATTCAATACGTTATTTATGACCGTTGCGGATGGAACAGTTGCCCTAAACATAACTTATGAGGGCTTTTGTTGACGGTCTTAATGATAATGATGAAAAAGTAACTTCTTCCAAGAAACATACCCAATTGAAGGCTAGAGTGCTAAAACTATACTCTATTTATGACCAAAACGGCTAAAAAACAATACCCTTTGGGGCCGCACATACCTGTATAGCCCATATACGAGAGTACCGTACCCCACCCCCCCGCCTCCCCCCGCCGCCGGACACCGAACCTAGTGTGGCAGGACACCAATAACTCCAGTGTCCGCCGTTTCGCGCAATAGCTTGTTGTAAATCAGATAACGCTGTACTCCTGGGCTGCACTATGGTGGTTTGGTGGTATGCTTTGCTGGCGTCTTACCTTTTTTGCTTACCGTCAGGTCCAGAAGCGAAGACACGCCATGCAGTGCCCACTTACTTTAAACGACTCAATCCTGACGGCTCAGTGGTGGACGCTGATGATCCTCAAAACCGCATAAAATTCGCGCACCCAATTCGCGAACATTTTATGCCCAATGCTACTCTGAAGGTCAGTCCAAGCTCGGTTGAAAACGGAGCCGCTGTGAATGTTTCATGGAGTGGGGTTACACTACCCAGCAACTTGGACTTCATCGCATTTTACTGCCCAGAAAATGACCAGCCGGAACATTATCTAGATTACTTTTATGTCACGGACTCGGCAAGTTATGCATCGGGATACGGCTGGAGAATGGTCAATGTGTACAACATGAGAACCAAGTGCGAGTTTCGTTATTATCAACCGACCTATGTTCATGTGGCCACTAGTAATTTGCTGCAGTTTAAAGGAGGGATTTATGTTCCTTTGCAAGGACACATAGCTCTTACAGGCGATCCCTCGCAGATGCGAGTTAAATGGGTATCGGGGACAGGTAAGGATATTTTTTTCGTCTATATGAAAATCGTTTGTACTGTCGATCAGACGGGTGTAAAATGCTTCCGCTGATATAAAAGTCGGTAACAATTATATAAAGGGCAGATAGCAAGTGACAAAACAGACAGGTCTAACTGTGGCATCAATGCATTATTCGAGCATCTCGTGATTCTCAGGTGATCAGGTGGACTTTGTGATTTCAGGTTGTGTGACACAATCCCCGGGACACAAACCTTATGCCAAGGCGATCACGCCACGTCGAATGATGTCGAATTTCATTAATACAAAAGAGCATAAACAATTCTATTGACACAATAGAGTGGTGCGTAGTTTTTGTCCATTATTGCTCGCTCATTTGTCAGTTTGCCACCTTAAATTTTCGTAAGATTTAAGGTGGCTCTGAGCCTCCTCCGCAGAGTGTTTTTAGATTTGCCAAATAGTCGTATCTTATCATGCTTGTAACAATTCGATTAAGATTACCATTCCCATTATTGGTAATCAATGGCTGGCAAGATGGCTGGGCGTTTTTATGATACCAATATTGTAGCATTACTTGATGAACAGTGATAGAATTAATCTGTATAAGTATGGCTGTTGAAAAAGTACTGGAAGCTGTTGCCAGCCATCTAAAAACATTTTTGAAGTACAACCCTTTTCTACTTCTTTACCGTTTCTATTTCATATTTTATTACTATTATTATTATTATTATTATTATTATTATCTTTAATTTCCCTTTTCCCTTTAATTCGTTATAATTTTCTTTTCTTTGTTTATGGTCATTTGAAGTCAGCTCGTGGACAATGCACCTTTTTACCGATGTCACGCAATACCAACAATTTTTCGTATTTTTCACATACACAAAAAACTACCTCCATAGTTCAATTTATCATGTCGAATTTGGTAAATCTGCGAAGTTTTATAAGAATCTGTCGCAAACTCATAAAAATATGGGACCCCAACCTCCGAAGAATATGTATGCCAGGAGGCAAGCGCTCCCCCCTGGCAAACATTTCTTTGTAAAAATAGGAAAGTTAGGGGTCCCATATTTTTATGAGTTTGCAACAGATTCTAATGAAACTTCACATATTTACTACATTTAGCACAATGAATCAAGCGGTGTGGTTTATTTTTTGTTTGAACGAAACGATCGGAAAAGCGTGACATCGGTAAAAAGGTCCATATTTCTCGGTTTTATTCGCACGATGCCAGATGATTTTTCAAAAGTCTTCCGAAGGGAGGACTTTGAATCCGGTATCCAGGGAGTTGATCATTCCTAAATGCGAGTCAGAATTCCCCTCCCACGCAGAGGCTAAGTCAGAATTAGTTAAATGACGTTATAATTTGATGTATTTTCTTCACTTGTGATAACTCGTGTGCACTTTTAGACGCGATCATGTTTTAAAATAACTTGTTAAAATGTTAGCGCATGGTAACCTTTGGTGCATTACTTTGCAGCACATTTTCCTCACACTTTGTTTTTTTTATTAGATGATCCTCCGATTGTTCATTATGGAACAGACTCTTCGCTGCGTTTCACTGCTAAAGGCACCTCAACAACGTACAAAAACACCGACATGTGTGGGCCTCCCGCGTCATCTCAGGGTTTCTTTAGTCCTGGCTACATTCATGATGTTCTTCTGACGGATCTTTCTCCGTCAACACAGTATTTTTACTCGTACGGATCCTCCAAGGTTGGTTGATAATTTAGACCTGCTCTTAAGATTAGGCTGGTTTCAATTAAGCACCATCAAACTCATCAAGTTTAAAGAAAGGAAATCATGACCGTGACGCTGTTTGGATATCTGATCTTAATTAGCATAGATTTTTACGATTTTATTTTTCCGTTTTCTCCTTAGTTTTAGTTTCGATTGAGAAGAAATATCAAACACGAAAGACCTTGTTTGACCACATTACCAAACAACTCGAAGTTCGTCAAAAATACTCAGCTGCGCGTCGTATTTTGAACTCTCTTCTCGGTGTTTGGAAATGTGGTCAAACACGGTCTTTCGTGTTTGATATTTTACGTCGAAAAAACCAAAATAGTTGCAATGACACAGATAATCAAGTGAACCAATCAAAGACTTGTAGCCGGTGCGGATTTTGGTTTTACTTCTGATTGGTTAAAAAAGTTTTTGTGCGTTTGCGCGGTAGGGAGGCAACATCCTGAAAATCACCTGAGTAAAATGTGAATTTGCTCTCGTTCTTCCAGTTCGTTCTTACTAAATTAAGTGCTATCATATGAGTTAAACCCGCAAATGTACAACTGTTCATTTTCGCTCTTGTTTTAATAATCCAGGCGATTTGAAAAAAACACTCGACCACGACATTAATTTCCTTCTGACAGATGCCACTCATCCAATCGCAGCCAGCCCTACGAAACAATTGGTTTTTGCCGTTGATAAAGACAGCTAACGCTAAATGCCTTGGCCACTTTTGTGAAGTTTTCTTTTTCTCTCTGTTCAGATGATGAGCGCTATGTACAAGTTTCGTTCAGCGCCCGTTACAGACGCAGACGCTTCCTTTAGTTTTGTAGTTTATGGTGACATGGGAGTCACTGTTGTGCCAGGTGCGCACGATACAGCAAAGTACATGGTTGAAGAGGCTAAGAAAGGCAGTTCACTTGTATTCCATGTCGGTGACATCTCCTACGCCAGGGGATACGTAAGTACACCTCTAAGTAGCTTTCATGGCCCGTTCCGTCTTTGTTAAAAAAACTTAATAAGAAGCTGAAACTCTTCTCTACAAAGATTTGCCTGAATGCATTTATGACGAAGTTTAAGTACGAGGTTTCGTAGAAAAAGATTGAACGATGGTCGCGTAGTATTACGTTGTTAAAATGGTTAATCCGAGTCACGTCCCGTGACACGGGACATGACACCATTTGAACCCTTTCTGTCCCAAGATTGAAAATACCCTTGATCTACCGATTTAGCGCTCGGGCTGCTAATTTACTTTTGGCAGCTCAAGGGAGGATTTTTACTGGAGAGGGGCGTTTATTAGAGATGGCGCGACTATTTTTCTTTTATTTAATGAAAAACAACTGATACTTTTAAAAGGAGCTTTGATTGCCATTACTGTTCAGTATTACGTTCAGATGATTAAGCAGTCTATTCTATCTTCATATCTTGAATGCCATTTTCGGTGGGGGCGCTTATTAAAAGAAAGCGGCCGTCAAAGGGGAGCGCTTATTAGAAAGTAGGCGTTTATTGGAAGGAGGGCGCTAAATCGAATCATTACGGTAAGAACTCTCCCTAGTGATTACAATGCATTCTTTTAACGCTACTTCAAATAACGTTTCGACGCATCCAGCGATATCCCTTAGTTGATGTTTGCCAGCATTCATGTTGCCAGCTGCTTGAACAATCTTTTGATGTTGTAAAAGAAATGGCTGAAATTTTCAGCTTCATACTGAAAGTCACCTGACTAACTTGCATTTATTTGTTCGCACATCAGGCATACATCTGGGAACAGTGGCACGAACTCATTGAGCCTTACGCAACACTGATGCCATATATGGTGGGCATGGGCAATCACGAACAGGACCATAACTCGGGGGGCTCCAAGGACCCTAGTGGTGCTCCGGGTGAAGGGTGGCACCCCTGGTGGGGGAACTTTGGTGATGACTCTGGGGGAGAGTGTGGAGTGCCAATGTACCACAGATTTCACATGCCTGATAATGGAAATGCTCTATGGTGGTGAGTTGTATTCCGTGTTTTGTCTTTATTCTTTCATTCTTAAGCATTCCACGCGGTTAAATTAACGGTCAAGTATGGAATAAAGATAATGCCGTTTCTCGTGATTTCCCGTGGCCTTTATGAGTATAAACCTGCCTGACGATTTAGAGAGACGCGCGCAAGGGAGGAGACACGCGAGGAGCGCGCACTACTCTTGTCCAGACCTCATTCCCTGCCCCGCCCTACATAAGTACCTGATTTATCAAATAAACTAAAAAAAAGATGTAGGACTTGAACTCAGGTGGAAACCCTGCTATGCCGGCAGGCTCTTAGTCGGGCTCCAACGCGTAGCCTAGAAAGCGCAACGCAAGCGTAAGTGCGCACACCCTAGAAGAGCAAAGAAATGCGCTCATGTTGCTAACACAACAAACACATCTGTAATGCGCAGAAGCTAAGTTAACTGAAGTTACGAAAATGTCTGACTTGCTTCTCAGCCAAACTCGACTCCTGGATTTTTATGAAGGTCAAAACAAATCTCGTCGATGCCAAAAGCTGCTACTGACGTGATCTTCTCCATCATTTATTGAGCTACGATGATCTCGGTTGAATAGTTTTCTTGAAAAAAGAACTTCCAGTTATCACGTGCTCCTCAAAATTTATAGCAATATTGCTGGTAGCCATACATTTATTGCAACACTAGCTGAGAGAATCTTATTTCACATAAGCCCAGTTTCTTCATAGTGCTCAGACCTGCTGCTTGGCTTGGTGTAGAGTGAGAGGATATCTTATTAAGATATCTGATCACCGAGGTTGGTTTAACTTCACAGGTACAGTTACGATTACGGAAGCGTTCACTTTATCATGATGAGTTCTGAACACGATTACAGACCCGGCTCCAGACAGTACGTATGGCTGGAAAATGACCTGAAGAAAGTGGATCGGACCAAGACTCCATGGGTTGTGCTGGGAGGGCATCGACCAATGTATTGTAGCCAGGAAGATTTGGGTGAGGATTTTACTCATCAGTAATCACTTATAGTAAATGGTTTGAACCCAGGAGAATCAGTACTAGTTCGTATTGTGTGATTGTCCTGGTGAGGGTAGTTCTGAAAAGAACTGTTGTTGGTGACTGACGTTTCACATATTTACATATTTAACCAGTGTAAACCCGTCAGCCTAAGCTTTTATTAAAGAGTACCCTGGACAACTTTAAGTATCAAAAAACCATGAGAATAGATTGCAATGTGCATGGTATAAGGTAAAAAAACTATAACAATTAGTAGCATTGTTGGAGGTAGACTATATATCCTGTAATCCTCTTCTGTTACAGGCGACTACATCGTGTCCTTGGGTATGCAGCACTATTTGGAGGACCTTTTTCACCAATACAAAGTGGACCTGGCCTTCTGGGGTCACTATCATAGCTACCAGAGAACATGCGCAGTGTACAAGCGTGAGTGTCAAGATGAAGGAATGGGTACTACACATATTGTTGTAGGGACAGCTGGGTTTGAATTGGAGTGGCTACCCTTCTGGGATGCGAAATGGTCTCGTTTCTATGAGATAGACTATGGTTATGGAAGAGTTCTAGTGGCCAACAGATCGGCACTCTATTTTGAGTGGGTCCGAAATAAAGACAAGGTTGTACGTGACAAAGTCTGGCTGCTGAAACCAAGCGAACGAGTTGAAATGTAACGAGGTAGCTTTCTAATAGCTGGCTAATCTCGGAAATACAGGCCATGGAATTTAGTTTGTAAGGTTTAGTAAAAGTTCAGCTCAAATATAACGCCCCATGCTAATGGTACTAGGTGTACGAAAAGATGCAAATAAAGCTTTTGTTAACTACTATACAAGTCAATAGTTGTCACTTTTCTCGTAGTAAGTGTCTATAGCGGCTACCATTACAATTTGATTTTAATTTTAGAAAAGAGGTTGGATTTACCGGTAAGGAATTTTGTCTTACACTAAACAAATGGGTCTTTAACAAGGAGAGCTTATAAGCTGGAGCTTATTCTTCGAGTGATTTTACTTCACGAGAAACCGCCTAGTTATAAGAGGTGGATAAAAATTCTTCTGAACTGGAAAACGTCTTTTGGTTCGGGTAAATCAATTTAAATTGAACACAACAGCGAACGTCCAGTCTTCGTAAATGAGGTTAACTTGCCGCGACCGTGGAGAGGACTGAGTTCGATGTTTCTTAGTATCCTAATAACATACTGTCATTATACAGCTAAATGGAATGGGCATGAATGCACTATTGGAAATAAGACCACACCACAAATATTCCCTCTTTGAAGCTTTTAATATTCCCCGTTTGCTTTATGTCCCCATACTGTTACAAGGTAGGTTACAAATGAACACGCTTTCCATGTGCGTTTTAGCGTGTCTTTATAAGCTCCACTTGAATCTCGTTACCTAAAAGCGAGAGAAAAAATCAACATGAACGACCAACATCCTGCAAAAAAAGACTTGAAAGAAAACTTCCTAGGTCAAGAGGTAACTTGAGTACAGTTCCAATTGAAAGACTTGTCAAGGAACAATGCCTATAATGCATCCAGGATGCATTCAAGAAACGGCAGGGGATGGAATACTAATTTTTTTAAAAAAATCTCAATGACAAACCTACAATTGTATGAGCGAGATTATATAAATTCGATGAACAGGCACCATATATACTTTATGTACCTATTTGTGTAGTTCCAGATGAACATTAGCTAACATTGAACACATTCAAGGAAGCACACTTCATCTCTCTTATATGATGGTTTAATTTAGTGCGTAATGCAGTAAATACATATCGATCTTTCAGTAATGACCACTCCTTTAGCTAAATCCAAGAAACGATGATCACCGTTTCTTGTGAAATTTTATCTCCTATTTTTTCTTTTTTTTTGAGAATATAAATTACTTTATTGGTTTCCTGCACTACTGGTAATTAAAACAACTATCACAGATGTCGCCTAACCTACTTTACATTGGTTTCAACAGTACTAACATTAACATTTCTCTTATGTATAACTTAACTGATTTCATGTAAGGTTTTGCGCTTTTGCGAGGGGCATTTTTCCGTAGCTAATGACCAAAGCTTTCTATTCTGTACTTGAATAAAACTTTATTAAGAAAGACAGAAAGGTAAATAGCTTGATTATGCATCTTACTGGTGTATATGTAGTATTTCATAAATAGGATTGTGTAATTAAATTTCTTTAATATTTCTTTTTCGTATGGGCCAGATATGATACCAAATAGTTTCTCTTCAATTGTTGGAGCAATTTTTGAGTTGTTGGCCGCGTTAAACCAGTCAATTACGTTGTTTACGAAAATCTTTACCAATCGACAGTTAAGAAAAGTGTGATCAATTGAATCTTTCTCACCACAGCAGTCATTCATCATCCGCTTTAATACCATATCGATGAAGTTACTTTTTAGTAACTACAATCCTATGAATTAATTTAAACTGGAATTCTTTCAACTTTGTCTCCTTGCAGATGCTCTTTAGAGAGTTGAAAATTTTTTTCCAGGCATTCTCATCTAGTCTTATTATGCTGTTCCAGTTCATTGGGCATTTCTGGCTGACAGTGTGAATTTTCCGGTTTAGTAAACCGTAGAAGTCTCTAGTTTTAGCATTATCCAGTTGTATTTGTTTAGAGTCGTCTAACTGAAACAGAAAGTTATCTCTTGTGTATAGTTCGATTTCCAGTGGCTCTGTATTTCTTGCTTTGATTACTAAATATTTTGGGATTGCACTGGTGACTTGGTAAAATTGGAGAAAATTCGTATTGCAGTCATACTTGTTATTAAATTCTTGGAAAGACAGCAGCCGACCATTACTGTTCAGCAGGTCCCGGATGGACAAAATATTACTGTCAAACCATTATCTCCTAATTTGTATGCCACGTGAAAAAAAGAATTCATGTTAACACTCTCTCTGTTCGGCCATTATAACACGTCTGTTAGGCGTAAAAATTAATTCAGACCGCGAAAACAACACGTAGACCGCACTACTTACACCGGGCATGCGCGACGGGCGATCTCACCAACGTGATCATTGAGATCTTTGAAGGACATCTCGTAGAAACGGTCCTCCGGACTGGAGGCGATCTGGTCGAGTTCAGCACGCTGCTGCTGTTGTTCCGCAATGGTGTACCCATTGCCAGCCACGCCCACAGCTACCACGCGACACACGGTTCTCAAGGCGGCCGAAAAAACGCGAAATTTCGAACGGTCATTGTCATTTGTGCGCCCGTCAGTCACGACGATGGCGACCTGAGGGGAAATAAGACAGTCATGATTGGCCTTGAAAGACCTAACCCGTACTTTACTTCTTACCTTATCCCCTACTCAATGTTTCCGTTTTCGTTTCTTTTTTCTTTTCTTTTCGTGCGTGTTTTTTCCTTTTTTTGTGTACAACTTTTCTTCTCGACTTATTTAATTGATGGTTTGTTAATAGTGTATTGGGATTTTTGTAAAATAATTTGTAAATTAAAATTATATTGTAATTTAGAACACTAATTAAACAAACAAAAACAAAAAAGTACTGCGAGTAAGTATTGCAATTAAATAAAGAAAGAGTACTGTAAGTAAAATAGCTTTGTAATCGAGTTGGTATTGTAAGTAATGTCACTGAATGACCCTGAATGTAAGGTCTGGTACTGTTAATTAATAAGTAATAAAATATAGTAAATAAGGTGTGATGTTCAAATAATAAAGGAGAGAAAAAAGATATCCCCTCCTCAACCCTGTAACTCTTCCCAGTTACCTTGCACGTAACTGTAGATATATAAAGACTATAGATAATAAGCAATACCTGTTCGTGCTTCAAGAATTTACCATCAAGCCTCCTCTTAGAACGGTGCAGCATCTTGTATGCCAGCTCAAGACCTTTGCCCGTTTTCGTTCCCCCTCTGGTGTAAAACAAGCTTCTGACCCTCTTTGCAAGTCTGTGGAATCCCAACCTCTGCGATCTTCCTAACGTGTAAATCACTCGAGCGTTAGTGGCATACTGAACGATGCCAATTCGTGCGTAAGAGGCACTGACGGAAAAATGTCGGATGAGCTTGTCAAGGACTTTTTTCACCGTTTTAAAGTTTTCCTCCCCAATACTTCCGGATGAGTCAACAACGAAGACCAAATCCACAGCTGTTGTGCAGTCTAAGACAGAGGGAGAAATTCATGTGAGCTCTCTCATAGTTTGAACCCGAATACATATAGGTTGTTTGTCGGCTGGGAGGGCCTCGGGCAGCATTTTCAAATCCGAGAACACAATTTTTCACTCTAGGGACCGACCATAACCGATAACGAGTTTCTTTCTCCTCTCTCTCTCATACCACTTTTATAATTGATGACCTTTTCCACACACGCATCGCACGCGCGTTACCGTGACATGGGCAGAGGTAGGAACATCCGGACCGCGCAGGATTGGTTACCGTGCCCTCTTGGAAAAAAAATAGTGATCGGCCACGTGCGTTTAAGCCTTTATTTTAGATCAACACATGGTTGAAGCTCTACCATGGTAGTGACAATATCAAAGAATTGTTAGCTTTTACGAACGCAACTGACGAACTATTTCTTCTTGAAAGTTAGCAAAGTATAGGCGAAAGACGCGACAGCCAGTTGTTTTTCGTGCTTGAAAGAATTTCGCTGTTGTGTGTTCTCACTCACGTACCTAGCAACCATACAAATGTATTGGAACAAAATATCAGAAAGTTTTTATCTAAGAAATGAGTTCAACCCCAGCAGGATTGATTTGGGACACAAACAAGGCCTCTGTTTCATTTTTTGGGAACATCAACATGGCTGCCGTGATCATGATGTCAAGTGACAACACTCAGTGGCCCTTACACGGCAGAAACTCACAATCAGAGACGTTCTTTTGGTCAGGCGCTGACCAAAAGACACGTGAGCTCTGGGATTGAGATTGCCATGTTTTAAACCAAGGCACGCATGCGGCGTGAAACCGGAACTCCTAAAATCTTGGAGTCTGAAAATTGATTATTCCAGAGCTCCGTGTCTTGGCGCTCTCCAAAAGACACGTGGGCTCTGGGAACGATATTACTGAGGTACAGGATATCACATGACGCATGCGCACTAACCTGGGCAACCTTCATATTTCGTGCCGTTGGCCGGCATCGCACCATCAGGACAACAGCCATACACTGTGAAAAAAACATACGGGACATTATATGACTTGGTACATGACAAAATGGCTAAGGTTTCATTCAGCACGATTCTGCTGGACCAGGGTAATGGGCTCCTGGCTGGACTTTAATGTTTTCTGTAGCCTTCTTTAAGCTGTGGATTCCCCGACTGACTGTTTGCGTTTTGGGTCTGTAATATCCCTGGTTTTTCTGTTTTCTTCATGGACACTAACAAGCAAACAATCAACGAAAGAATTCCAAAATAAAAAAAAGTGAATTGAAAGGTGTAAGTAATTTTTTGGAGATTATAAATTAAGGCACATGGTAAAGGGCTAGCAAAAAGGTAATTTTGTAATTTAGTTACTTAATATTCTGCTACTTTCACCAGCTGTTTTTTCTCTACTTGCTTACATTCAAGCATGTAAAATTGAACATTCATTTACAATTGAACCCTGCATGAAGGTAAACAAAGAGCGTTCATAGATATACCTGATCCACATTTGGCCTTGTAGACATATAGAGCCCAGTGGAGACCAACGCCCTGGATACATTTGGAGGAATTTCCGTAACGAGCGTACGTGTCACAGGCATCATGGGAACCCCAGCATTCACCATAGAACTCAATGCCAAAGCACGCATATCCTCTGGCTTGGGCTGCATGTGCACATTCCATTATCACCTCCAGGAAGTCTCCCCATCCCCAGTTGATTTGATTTCGTTTTCGCATGTT